TCTTTAATTAAGTAACATTTGTTTAATGTAATGTTATATTAATGTTTATAATTAATGTCATATCAATTAAATAATCATCTGATTATGATGTTTTAATAATTATGTAATCAACTAATCATACATAATGAAATAGTGAAATGTTACAATGAATTAAGTAATCATACTATAAGTCTTTATATAATATTATAATTTATTTATTTATAATAGAATATTTAATTAATTAGTAATCATTTAATTATAATTAATGTTACATTAATTACATAACCTACTATAAATTTATAATTAATGTTGTAATTAATTAAATTTCTAATCATTTATTAGTATTATGCTAATGTTTATGAAGTAAATTAGTAATTACTTATATTATAATATAATGTCATAATCAATTAAGTAATCATTTAATTATGTATAAATTAATTATTATCATACTATATGTAATGTTATAGTGAATTAACTATTAAGTAATCATACTATAAATTTTTAATGTAATATTATAATTAATTAAATTTTTAATCATTTAATTAAGTTTGTATTAATGTTTATAATAAAATGTTATAATTGACTAAGTAATTATACTATAAATCTATAATGTAATGCTATAATTAATTAAATTTCTAATTATTTAATTAAGTAATATACTAAATGTTATAACTTATAAGTCAATTAATTAAGTAGTAATCAATCAATGTAATGCTATAATTAATTATACTATAAATCAATTAAGTAATATTATAAAATTATAATTAATTAAGTAATCATTTCACTATAATGTAATGTTATAATTGATTAAGTATGATATTTAACTAGTAATTAAATTTATTAATGTTTATCAATTTATCATATATAATTAATTAATTACCAATTTATTATAGATATACTTAGAACTTGATAATTGAAGTAAATAACTAAATATATTATTACTCAATCAAATATACTATTTTATTCAAAAATAATTTTTTTAATAACATTAAAAATATAAAACACTTTTAATTGGATCATAATTCCAATTATTCACTTAATTAATCAAAACTTTAATATTAATGTATTATAATATATTAAAACTTTTAATATATTATAATTTATATGTAATAAGTATAATTGTATTTGTATATTTATTTAATTAGGTTATTCTAAAAATTTAACTTTTTCTATTTAAATTTTTTTTATAAAACAATAGAAACCCTCCATTATTCACATTTCACAAATATTTTATTGTAGTCCAGGTTCCAAAACAGGTTCCAAACAGGTTCCAAAACAGGTTCCAAACAGGTTTCAAAAATCGGTTCCAAACCGGGTACCCCCTACAGGTTCCAAACAGGGTACCCTTTTTACAGATTCAGGTTCAGGTTTCGGTTCCGATTCCTCCACACACAAGAACCGGAACCGGAACCGTACAGTATGGGTTCAAAAAAATTGAAACCGAAACCTACCCGCACAGTACCAGTTCCAGGTAGGTTTCGGTTTTGGTTCCGGTTCTACCCCTCAGTTCCGATTCTACCCGCTACCCGTGCTCATCCCTTACTACTCTATTTCATCCAAATGGTCTGGATGGTATCCATGTTAAACAGCAGCCCATGATATGATGATACATTTCAACCAGGCTATTTGATTGCTGAAACACTAAATGGTAGATTGGTAGGCCATGATGAGCTGCAATCTATAATATCAACCCATAAAACACCAACAAATCTCACTACTAACATAAAAATAATAATAAAAATTAAAGGCGAAGAAGAAGGCAAATAGAAGGAAAAATTTTAGGATGTGGCCAATCGAAGCTGAGTAGATGTCATGCTGCAAATGGCCATATCACAGCTTTCTACCATCGGACAGCCAAAAAATCGCTAAAAAAAAAAGAGTCATGATTCAGAATTTGATTTTTTTGAGCCTCAATCAAAGCCAATCAAATGTCATGCCACAAAAGGTCCGCATCTCAGAACACCATTAGGGACATTCTGATCTAATAATGTAATATATAATATCATCTAATGGATTTGATTAATGTTAGGGATTAAATTGTTTGAAAAATACTAGTGTCTTGAATTGTTATTATCGCTACAAGTAAGGGACTACAAATTTTTTTCCCTCAAAATGAAACAGTTAAATTTACCTTAAACTGACACTTCGTACACAGTTATCCAATTAGCATTCATACAACAAAAGGGAAAAATAATAAAAATAAGTAATAAAAGAAAAAACGAAAACAAGGATAATTTATTCAATAACTTATGGGAGATCTCAAATAATCTAAGAAAAGGAAATAATTCTAAAAATAGAATTATAGTTTTTTTTTATTCCAATAAAGAAGGGAAAAATAAAATATTTATTCCATTCAACAGTATTGCTATTTTATTATCGCTCACCTTTCTTGAGGTTTGGGTTTTAGTCATTGACACCTCATAGGTTTAAGCCTCTCTCCTCCTTTCACATTTTAAAGATTTCCTTGGACCCTTTTTACCTAACAGAAATCATCTCATGATCAGAAGTGAATATGTGAAAAGTAAAAGAAAATGCAGCAAACAAAATAGGGCAAAGAGGGGCTATGTTTGTTTTTAAATTTGTGTCTAATCACAATTAGAGAGGCAATGTAACAAGTGTCATTGTAGACAACCCCAAACTCAACAAGGGTACTGTTGTGTAAAGATAAAATCTCGAGCTCATGAGGGAAGCATGAGCTTTATTAGAGAAAATTTTCATCATCTATAATAAAGTCCATTAAAAAATTTTGCAAAAAAATTATGCATGATCACAGTGGCCATCTAAAACTATAAGGTAACTGCAAAGGGAACAACTAATTATAAAGTAAAAAGTTTCATTTATCACAACATAACGACTTACTTCATTCCTACAATTGAAGCTCCTAAGAATTCACCCAGCTATTTGTAAGACATTATCATGTGCAGGTCCAGCTAACTCTCCTCTTAAGCCTTTTTAATTCAGAATCCCTTGACTTTAGAACTCGATTTCTTGGAATCACCAACAAGTCCATTTTCTACATTAGACTTTGGCTTCTCACTGGGCACTGCAAACAATCGAGACTTAGCAACCACATAGATTTTTCCTCAGTACGTGTTTTGAACCTGGGTATTACCTTAATCTTGGATAAGATTACTATATACAATTGCAATTGTAAAAAAACAACACATTCATTAATCAAATCAAGAACCATCAAGGCCGTCTCAAGAACATTTGTGACCCTAGGCAAGAATTACTTTGGAGGCCTTCTAATAATATAAGCATATATTATAAAAAATATTTCAAATTTATTTTCTTGCCTTTTGAGATGCAAAATCACTAGGAGATGTGGACAGCGATCGGCAGGCTAACTGGGTCAGGTTGGTGGGGGGTTTTAGAGAGCAGATGTTGGGGAAGCGATGGGTGGTGAAATAGGTAATTTCTAATGCCTGGATTGGGCAGAAAAGACTTGAGAAGTCGCAACTCAAAAGGTATCAGTGGCCGGCGATTTGATGGAGTAAACGGATGAGGTATGATAGGGATTTTGGTGAAAGGGTTGAGGGGAGGAAGATGGTGGTGTCAGGGAAGGCCAACAACGCCGGGTACATGCTGAAAAGGTCGAAAATGACTGTCATGCACGGTGGAGTTGGGTTATGAGATTCGTAAAAAATCAGTCAAATCGAGGGCTATCAAGGCTAGAAAAACACTTGGGAAAATGATAAAGTAATGATTCCAATCAATTTTGGTGAGAAAATTGATGAAAATCAGCTCCAAACGACTGGCGGCAAAAAAGGGGTGGAGATAATTTATGTGAATGTCAAAATTTGGGATGCAATTGGGTTGAGTAATTTGAGACATATAAATGACTATTTTAGCCTTTTATTGTTAAAAGAAATTTAATGTGTTAATTTAGGGGTACAAACTTACTATTTTATCAAATTTTGGGTGGGAATATATGTAAAAAAATTTATAATAAATTTGAGTCTTTTTGGCTTTTTTTTTTTTTTTTTCCTCTTTGGCTTGGATAAAAAATCATACACCATTTTTATTTTTGTAATTTATTAAAAAAATTATAAAAAATTTGGGCCCCTATGTTTTGGGGGCCCTAGGTAGGTGCCTCACCTGCCTACCCCTGGAGCTGGGCCCGAGAACCATTGGACGTGCAATAATTAATTTAAACCACAATAATAATACTTGGATACATTTTATGTGATCAATGAAACAATAATGCTAGTCTTACTCACCCTTCTTACTACTTTCTCTTACTCACTCATGTTAATCTCTCTTTTTACTCATTTCTCTCTCTTCTTACACTCACCTATCTCATGAGTGAGTAAGAGAAAATGAGTAAAAGGGTGAATAAGAGTAGCATCACTCTAAATGAAATGGGGAAATCACAACTAGTCATGTCAATACACACATGAATAATACACAACCTTGATCACTATTTAGGATTTGAACTAGTGGTTGCCCCCAAGACAAACAGTTCCAATTTTAACATGCTAAAAGTTGGTATAATCAATCAATTAGAACAAAAACACAAATTATGAAGTACCTCCATAGAAAATTTGGCTCACAAACTTTGATGAGCTAGTCAAATTATCCAAAATAACTGCAGAAAAAGCAAATTATCAGATAAAATGGTAGTAGTAGTAGTGATAATAATAATAATAATAATAACACAAACCCATCAAATAAAACAACAGAAGACATAAAATGAGAACCAAACCAATTGAGATCACAGGGTGAAGAGCAGAACAAGTAGAGAATCTATTTAAAGATTAAAAGAACAATAACATTACGTAAACTTTAAACCATAAACCTTAATTGTTAGCAAGGAAACACATATTTGCCCTGTTCAACATTATTCAAATACATAAACAACAATATGAGGTTTGACTTTTGGGAAGATACAGTATCATCGGCTTTAGATTTTAGTCTGTTCGCCCATGATGATGACTTAAGGATTAAATATTTTCAACAAGGAACGAAAAAAAGAGATTTTTTTTTTTTTTTTTTTTTTTTTCCAAGAAAAATAGATTTCAAATAACTTGTCTGCAGCCATAGTGACCAATACTGTAACTCCTTTGGTACATTTAGGAAACTGAGGAGAGAGAAGAGAATGCAAAGCTTCAAGGCATCAATGTTACGCCTCAATTTGGAAAATTAGGTTTCGATTTCAGGGGCGTGGTACGGGAGCGAAATTCTGGAAATTGCTACGCCTCAATCGAGCTGATGTTTGATTTTATGGATTTTAGGATTTTCTCCCTTTTATCATAATTTTTAATTTTTTTTTTTAACATTCAATTGATTTAATTTTCTCTTTATAACTTATAGGTATTAGCGGAAGGTGGAGCTAGTTCTCGAATGGCGATTCTTAACAGACCCTCGGTTCTCAATGCTCTCAACACAAATATGGTGTGGTCTTCGTTTCTAAAATTTATTTTTTTATTTGTTTATTTTACACTTCGTTTTCAATACATGTTTATTAAAAGTTGTGTCATCTAGGTTTTTTCTCTCCTTGAATTTATTTATTTATTTTGTGTATTTAGGGAGACAAGTTGAATAAACTCTATAAATGTTGGGAAGATGATCCAGATATCGGTTTTGTGATGATGAAGGTAATTCTTCGTTGATTTTTTCAATTTTTAGATTCAAGTTTTAACTTGTTTATTGTTAGATGTTAATGAATGATTTTGGTTTATTCATTGCTAAGGAATAATTTTGAATTTTTGAAGGGCAGTGGTCGGGCGTTTTGTGCTGGTGGAGATATTGTTGCACTCTATCATTAGATCAACCAAGGTAAGGCCCAGTTTTTGTTACTACTATTCAGTCTATTCTCCGTATGGTGTAGTTAAAAGGAATTTATTGTTTCCTTATGTTACAAATAAATCCTCTTTTTTGAATAATATATTTCTTCTTTTTCAATGATTTGGCATCACATAGTCAGGTAATAGAAGAGGGATTGAAAGTTTGAATAAAACCAGGTTGTTATATATTGCTATAGAGAGGAAACCTGTGCTTTGTGGTTTCTTATTCTTGTTTACCTCAAGTTTTTATATTTGACGTTTATTTTATTGGTACCTTGTCCTGAATCCCTGGTTCTGTAAAGGAAAAAATATGAAGATATACCAACATCGCTAGAACATCAAACAAGGTCATGATTTTAATGGCTGACTTGCTTTTAGGATCCCCTACTGTGGTATTGTATTTTATTTTACCTTGTATTTTATCCTACATTGGAATGCAGAGGACAAATGTGTGATAAAATGGATATATATATCTATAGATATATATTTGTAATTTTTTTTTTTTTTTATTCACATGAGTTGATATATAATTTTATACAATCATTCAACATTTTGTTCTCTGTGTACGGAAGCTTGAAGAGTGTAAGAACTTCTTTAGGACACTATATAGTTTCATATACCTACTAGGCACCTATTTGAAGCCACGTGAGTATTTATAGTTTTTAACAATTTGAACATGTTTCTAGAATATCAGTAACCTACTAATTGTTATACAACCCTGTAGTGTGGTTTTTGTAGTTTTTTATTGATTGTGCAATCTAATTTTGACATAATAATATATGCAAAACTTGTTTTATATATAAACACTATAGAAAGACATTTTGATTAGTTTATGATTTCTTATGCTGTTTATTTATCTTTGTTTCCCTCTTTCTATTGACTGAGGTTTGACATTATTTTTTTCTTCATATATTACTCTTTTGCCCCTTAATGTGTTCTGCTTTTGGTACTGAACTAATCATATAGAGATCACTAAATCTGACTTTCCTATCCTACATCATTGTGGTCTGTATTTAAATTCCTTTCTAAGAATAATCTTAGTTCAATGCACAAAGTGCCATGGTTAGGTAAACTATCTTCTTCATTTACTTATAAATTTTTCTAGAGGGAGTGTAATTTCCTGCAATCCATGTCTTTGTGGTTGAATTTACAATCAGTTAAGTCTTGTTATCTTTCTAATTTAAGTGTATGAGTGTTAACCAGTATAGTGAAGTTAGCATTTAATTTATCTTCATATAGGTGGCTATTTTGAATGGCATTACTATGGGCGGCGGGGTTGGAGTTTCCATACCTGGGACATTTCGGATTGCCTCTGGTAGAACTGTATGTTATTGGGATACATGTCTCTATTTTCTTAACCCTTTAATTAACTTTTCATGATGCACTGCATGAATTTAACTACATGGTTGTTGAAGTCAGCTGACAGTTTATCTTAATAATTTGCAGGTTTTTGAAAACCCAGAAACTCTAACTGGTTTTCACCCTGATCCTGGTGCATCCTTTTACCTCCCACATCTACCTGGTCGCTTAGGTATTTTTGGTGCATATTGGTCGTTTATGCATATTTAACTTGTCCGTTTTTGCAGCAAATTATTGGATCTAAATAAGTTGTTCATGATTTGTTTGATATGAAGGTTTATATTTTTAGTTGTGTTATTTACCATTCTAATCCTGGTAATTTTACAAGTGTAGGGAGATTAATTTAATGTAATATCAAGGGAGTTATCATCAACCAATAAAACCCTCTTGAGCATTAAGATATTGAAAATTTTGTTCCAACATGTGCTTCTGTTAGATATTTTTCTGACAATTTCCAGTACAGTGATTTTTAATGTCTCTAGGAGCATGTATTGTGTACTTCTTCCATAAATTTACTTGTTTCACTTTTATAATACTGTCCAAATAAGGTATTACAGGTATTGGATGCTATGATGGGTTTATGGTTTGCTTGGCTTGCAATGTTGGATCAGTAGTAACTTTTGGACATAGTATGAGCCACATTCAAGCTATATGGGTAAAAGTTGGTTCCTAACTTGATTTCTGAATGAGCGTCTGAAAGTCTAGCTTTTTGAGCCTGAAATCTGTTTTGAAGTCTAAGTCTGTCAAGCAAGAAACTGTTTAGAACCTCCACATCCTTCCTTTTTTGACCTTAATAGTACTTTTGTGATTTGCGTTAGGTAGGCTAACTGTCTTTTGGGATCTAGTTCAGAACGACATCCCAATAAATTTGAAGTTTGATTTTTGCAGGGGAGTATTTAGCTCTGACATGGGAAAAACTCAATGCAGCAGAAATGATGGCTTGTGGGCTAGCTACACATTATTCACTCAGCGAAGTTAGTTTTACTGGTAGTGTTAGTATCGTTATTTTTGTTTTTGTTTTGTTTTTCCTTTACCAACAAAGACTTCCATTAATTGAAGAAGCGCTTGGGATATTGGTAACTGATGATCCTTCTGTCATTGAAGCATGCTTGGAAAAATATTGTGACATTGTCTATCCAGACTAGGGATGTATACGAGCTGAGTCGAGTATCTCGGTACTCGAGCTCGGTTCGCGATGAACAGTAACGAGCTCGAGCTTCAATATCGGAGTTCAAGCTCAAGCTCAAGCTCGCGAGTATTAAGGTGCGCTCGAGCTCGCTTAAACGAGCTTAAATGAGCCACTTAAACGAGCTTAAACAAGCTTGCGAGCCTGACGAGCCGAGCTCAGCCTGGATCGAACTTGGCTCGATACTGTTCACTAGCCGCTCGAGCTCTAGCTCAGCTCGACTGGCTTCGAGTCGAATTCGAGCTTTTGACGAGTGGAGCTCGAATAGGCTCGCGAGCTACTCGGCTCGTGTCTCATCCCTAATCCAGACCAGATGAGTGTAGTTCACAGGTTTAAATTTACATAGAACCTAGATTGTGGAAGTTAATTTTGATTTAACTTTGTTGGAACCAACAACTTATCTTTCCTTTCACCGCAAACACAGTGGAATGGCAAATTTCTATCTTTAGGGTTTTTGAAATCAATATGCATCTTCATCTGTATGGTATATTCAATTATCTAATAACCGGTTGTCTTGTGTGGTCAGGATTAAAATACTTGACAAATGTTTCAGCCTTGACATAGTGAAAGAAATTATTGATTCTTTGGTAAGCACACATATAATAGGACATAATGATTTGCTACTGCACTTCACCCTGGAAAGTATTATTTTAAAGTAGCAGACTTCTATATAAAACTTTGGATTAAACATGGTCTGCTATGTTGCATAACAGATAAATGAAAATGCTAAAAGGAAAAAAAGTGAAAAGAAATCTTCATTAATTTGAAACAAATGATGACATAATAACTTTTCTCAGGAGCGCGAGGGAGCTGAAACAAATGATGCTTGGTGCAGTTCCACTTTAAGAAGACTTAAAGAAGCCTCACCACTGAGCTTGAAGGTTTCCTTGAGATCTGTGAGTCACTCGTTCTCTTTTCACTTTTTTATTTTGTGTTGAGAGTTTGTATCTTATTTTAGGTTGCGGTTGGAAAATCTTTGCATTGTCATCTGATAAATGTTGTTGACGGGTCAGATACGAAAAGGTAGATTTGAGACCTTTGATCAAAGCTTGGTCCGTGAATACCGAATGTCATTACAAGGGATATCTAAGCAAATTTCTGGTGATTTTTGTGAGGTATACAATATTTTGATTAAAATATCCAACTAATGAACGAAAATATTTATGATCTTTTTCACTATATTATTTCTATAATTCCTTGCCAGGGAATTCGTGCACGAATGTTGGACAAGGACCTTGCCCCAAAGGTAGGTATTAAAAGATATTATTACCTTCCTATGAGGGTATTTGATGGATCTATAAAGATGGATTTTGAGAATAAACATGAAATTAAATTTCAAATTGAATAATGATAGTAATATGTGATATTGGGAGTGTTGGATTCTCATGGTTTTCAGACTGTGCAGTGGAGTTTTCCAAGTCTGGAGCAGGTATTGGAAGATGTGGTTGATTGCTATTTTTCCCTACTTAGTGAAACCGAGCCTGATCTAGAGCTGCCCGCAAAACTGCGAGAAGCTTCTGATTAGTAAAAGCTTAGAAGTTTCAAAACTCTGATGACTTATCATGAAAGTGTGTGGACTTTATGTTAAAAGTAGATTAGGCTAACTCTGTCTTGTGGTTCGAATAATTGCTTAGGTTTGATAATGGTTGTCCTTATTTTTGGGTTACTTCTAATGTTTTCATGTAGTGTTAAGTGGTTTATTGTTTGTTTTCTTGTTAACATAGAATCTTATGGAAATATGCATCACTCTTTTATATAGAAGAAACTTTGGATTTCTTTGCAACTGTTTTTCTGTATCAAAATGTTTTTTTATAGCCTTTTTGTTCTTGTTATATGACTCTTTTTTAGGTAGATAATCTTGTGTTATATGTCATTGACAATGTGGCATGATCTCACATATTAAATTTTTTCTATTTGATACTGTCATTTATGTAATTTGAAATCTCTACAGTATCAAGTAATTTGTTTACTCAATTTTGCACTTTCATGTCAATAACTTATATAGTTTGACATGGATAGAGTTTTGTCTGCTCTAGATTATGCTTCCTGACTATTTGCACATGCATTACTCATGTGATGAAGGCAAATTTGAGAGGATTTCTAGTGTGTCATAAAGATATTTCAACATTTTTATTCTTATTCATGTTAGTTTGGCTTAAAGTTTTAATAATTGTCTGCATCATAATTTGACTTTGGCAGCAGTCTCTTTTTGGATGACTTACTGAAACACACTTTAAATACATGAATAATCAGTAATGCTGTATTCACTGCTGTTTTATGCAACATTTGCTCTTCATTTTGTCAGAATCTTTAATGAAGATGAATAATCAGTAACATTATTACGCATTATTTTAAATTTGTTTAAAGATCGATTCTTTTAGTTAGCAATATAATTTTATATGCTTCTAAGATATTTTGTGCTGCTTACGTGAAATAGGGAAGTTAATATTAGAGTAGAAAATTGTTGCGAACCTACTCTATTGTACTGGTTCAATCATCTACAAATTCACAGCATCCAAATATTCAACCATTAAGTATAAACAATCTAAACATTCAGAACTTCAAGTATGTATTTCCTGGTAAAGTCAGATTTACATTCCTGTATGGACACTTCTCAACACCAGAATTCAATTAACAAACAACAAAGAAAATAAATGGAACTGCTATGCTGGACTTCGAGGGCTAGCTACCTCCCCTTTTACTCTATTCTCTCTTGATGCCTTTTCAACCTCTGCTGCTCCCTTTTATTCACTCCCTTTCCTAACAGAATTCCCTTCTTAGCCACTTATCTGTCGCCACCTGTTTATTCTACCCTTTTTGCTTCTCTTCACACTTTAGTTGCTCCCTTTATCACAATTGATTCCCTGGTGCTTCTTCCCACGTCTCTTCTTATAAACCCTCCCTTCACGTGTTGTATCAATACCTTCTCGAAGAAGAGCCACCTTGTCCTCAAGGTGGAAGGAAGGGAATTGGGAATTTAGGCCGTCATACTCTTCTCAAGTATTCTCATGGTGGGGTAACCCTTTCCACTTAATTAGAACTTCCTTTTGACCATTGATTAGCTTGCGCATTTTCAGCACGTCTGCTGGTTCAACAACTAAAACTAGGTCCTCATTTAAGGAATTGGGAAGAGGCTGAATGTTTGGCGGAGGAAAATTGGCTTTCTTGAGTTGGGACACATGAAATACATTTTGGATGCGAGCACTAGCTGGGAGTTCTAACCTATAGGCAGCTGATCCGATTTTCTCTAAGATGGGGAACGACCCATAAAACCGAGGACTTAGCTTTTCATTGTAGCGGGCGGCAAGTGATTTCAGACGGTAGGGCTATAGCTTAAGGTATGCAGATTCGTCTACTTCAAATTGAACATCCCGTCTCTTCGCATTGGCCAAACTTTTCATGTGGTTTTGAGCCTTATGCAAATTCTCATTAAGCTCCAGGACAATATCGTTGCGATTCTGAATCTGCTGATTGACTTCATCAACCGGGGAGCTGTGGTCTGCGTATTTTAACAATGTTGGAGGGTCTCATCCGTACAAGGCCTTGAAAGGACTCATACCCGTGGAACTGCTGTAAGTAGTATTAAACCAGAATTCAGCCCACGGAATCCAGTGAGGCCACTGCCGAGGCTGATTTCCTACAAAACAACGAAGGTAAGTTTCCAAACATTTGTTAACAACCTCCGCTTGACCATCTGTCTGCGGGTGATAGGCCGAGCTCATATGGAGCTTCGTTTTGGCCTGCTTAAACAATTCTCCCCAAAAATGGCTCATGAACACGTGATCTCGATTCAAAACAATCGTACTTGGAAAGCCGTGGAGTCGTACTACATCTTTGATGAATGCGACCACTACCTCCTTGGCTGTATAAGGGTGTTTGAGTGTGAGGAAATGGCTATATTTAGTGAGTCTGTCAACGACCACCAAGATAGTATCCACATTGTGTGCCCTCGGAAGCCCCACTATAAAATCCATGGAAATATCTTCCCAAACCTGAATTGGAATAGGAAGGGGCTGCAATAGACCAGCAGGCCGCAGTGCTTCATATTTGTTCTGTTGACACACACTACAAGAGTTCACATAAGTTTGGATGTCTCGCTTCATTCCATCCCAATAAAACACATTCATCAAGCGCTTGTATGTTCTATAAAATCCAGAGTGGCCTCCAATTGGGGATGAGTGAAATTCATGCAAAAGATTTTGAATATGAGGGCCATGTTTCGGAATAACCAACCTGTTTTGGTACATAAGGTGTCTGCCCCTGAGTTTGAAATGAGGGTGGCCATGAGGGTTAACCATGAGCTGCTGGGTGAGCTGCCGCAACTTATCATCCTGTTGGATGGCCTCTTCCAGTTCTTCGAACCCGTCGAAACAACCCATTGATATTGCATTATTCTCCACATTCTCGGGGTGTCGGGATAATGCATCCTCAGCCTTGTTCTCTGGTCCTGGACGGTATTGTATTTCAAATTGCAACCCAAGTAATTTTGACACCCATTTCTGCTGCTCTTCATTCAGCAACCATTGTTCAGTCAGAAAATGGAGCCTTTTCTGGTCAGTTCTGATGACAAAACATCGGCCAAGCAGATAATGTCTCTATTTCTGTACCGCCATCACAATAGCCATCATTTCTCTTTCATAGACTGACTTGAGTTTCGAATTTGTTGATAGGCCTTTACTGAGAAAAGCAAGAGGCCTTCCTTCATGCATTAAAACAGCACCCAAACCACAACCTGATGCATCGGTTTCAATGAGAAATGGTTTAGAGAAATCAGGCATTACTAACACCGGTACACTGGTCAGGGCAGATTTCAATGCCTCAAATGCTTCCTGAGGTTGCTCACCCCACATGAAAGAATCCTTTCGCAACAAATTAGTCAAAGGAAGTGCGATCTTACCATACACTTTTACAAAGCGTTTGTAATACCCAGTTAGGCCGAGGAATCCTCTGAGTGTTTTCAAATCCTTCGGTCAGGGCCAGTTGACAATACTTTCAATTTTTGATGGATCCACAACCAACCCCTGGGCCGAAATAAAATGGCCCAAATATTCTAATTGGGGTTGTCCCAAGAAACACTTCTTTCGGTTGGCCACTAACTGATGTTTTAGCAGTGTCTGAAACGTGAGACTGAGATGCTGCATGTGGTCGTCCATTGTTTTGCTGTACACCAAAATATCATCAAAGAATACCAGGATAAGCTTTCGAAGGTAAGGCCGAAAAACCTCGTTCATCAAGGCTTGGAATGTGGATGGGGCATTGGTCAATCTGAATGGCATAACGAGGAATTCGTAGTGCCCTTCGTGAGTTCAGAAAGCTGTCTTGTGGGTATCCTCTGGTCGGACTCTGATTTGGTGGTACCCGGACTTTAAATCCAGCTTGGAGAATACTTTGGCACCGCCAAGTTCGTCGAATAACTCGTCGATGGCGGGGATGGGAAACCTGTCTGGAATTGTTACTTTGTTGAGTGCCCTGTAATCAACGCAAAACCGCCACCCACCATCTTTCTTCTTAACCAGCAGAACCAAACTGGAAAAAGGGCTGATACTTGGCTTAATGATCCCTGAAGCTAACATCTCACTAATGATTTTCTCAATCTCATTTTTCTGGTAATAGGGATATCTATAAGGGCGAAGGTTTGGGGTTTGGGTATTAGGATTTAATCAAATGGCATGATCCTGAGGTCTACACGGTGGTAATCCTGGTAATGGCTCAAAGACAGACTGGAATTGTGCTAACACTGGCAACAAGCTACTACTGACACTAGCTCTTTCATCCAATTGTTTTTGTAATTGCCCAAATTCAACCAGATAACCAGTTCCTTCACTCTTCAGTGTTCTAATCATTGCTTTCAAGGAGATCATTGTTTTACTAAGTGCCGGATCACCTATAACAGTCACCATTTCTTTATCCAGCTGAAATTTCATTACCTGCTTTCTCCAATCCATTGTAGTTTCGCCCAACATTTCTAGCCAAGCCATACCTAGGGCAACATCTGCACTACTCATGTCAAAAGGAAAAAAATCTTGAATTATCCTTACCTCCTGGACCTCTAAACAGACTGCTTTACACTCTCCCTCACTTCGTACCTTATACCCATCTCCAACACGTACTCCAAATGACTGTGTTTGTATCACCGTAATGCCCAACTTTTCCACCATCTTCTTAGTAATGAAATTGTGGGAAGCCCTACTGTCAATCAATATAATCACCTCCTGACCTATAATACTTCCTTTCAACTTCATCATTTTTGGGCCATTGATTCCCACAGCAGAACTCAAAGAAAGTTCCACATTACCTTGACCTTGTTCTTCCATCGTTGCTTCACTAATTTCTACGTCACCTGGATCCGGATCTTCTTCTTCCTCGTCAACTAAAATTACCTGAAATTGCTTCTCACCAAATTATGACCAAAGAAATACTTCCCATCACACTTGAAGCACAAGCCCTTTTCCTTTTTTCGCTGTATTTCGTTCTCTGTCATCTTTCGAAAAGGGAAATCACGTCGTGGTGGATGAGCTCTGTCGAAGGACCTGAAGGTTGTAGACGCTTGTTCGCGAGGAGAAGAATGAATCGATGACCCCACGGTGTTACTCTCTGCGTTTCGTCATCCCACGCTGGAGAAGGAATTTGAAAATGCATTTGATCTTAGGGATTCATTTGTGTTTGGGCATTTGAGTGAATCGGGTCGGTTTGAAATCGGGTTAAAATTTGGGTTAAAATTTTTGGATCCAAAATTATTTGACCCAGCATGAAGACCAGGCCCATTCCACCTATTGGTTCTTG